GGGTATGGGATTTGAGGACCGTTGTTGTGGTCGCATGTATGTAATTTGCTACTTTTCACACTTAGGGTATGGGATTTGAGGACCGTTGTTGTGGTCGCATGTGTGTAATGTGCTACTTTTCACACTTAGGGTATGGGTTTGAGGACCGGTGTTCCCGTCGCATGTATGTAATGTGCTACTTTTCACACTTAGGGTATGGGATTTGAGGATCGTTGTTGCTGTCGCATGTGTGTAATGTGCTACTTTTCACACTTAGGGTATGGGATTTGAGGATCGTTGTTGCTGTCGCATGTGTGTAATGTGCTACTTTTCACACTTAGGGTATGGGATTTGAGGACCGTTGTTTCCGTCGCATGTGTGTAATGTGCTACTTTTCACACTTAGGGTATGGGATTTGAGGACCGTTGTTCCCGTCGCATGTGTGTAATGTGCTACTTTTCACAGTTAGGGTATGGGATTTGAGGACCGTTGTTCCCGTCGCATGTATGTAATGTGCTACTTTTCACACTTAGGGTATGGGATTTGAGGACCGTTGTTGTGGTCGCATGTATGTAATTTGCTACTTTTCACACTTAGGGTATGGGATTTGAGGACCGTTGTTGTGGTCGCATGTATGTAATTTGCTACTTTTCACACTTAGGGTATGGGTTTGAGGACCGGTGTTCCCGTCGCATGTATGTAATGCGCTACTTTTCACACTTAGGGTATGGGATTTGATTACCGTTGTTCCCGTCGCATGTGTGTAATGTGCTACTTTTCAGACACTCATCTCTACAACTGTCTGCCATCATTTTCTCCTTTTATTCAAATTCCCTTCCCGATTTTCACCTATGCCACACGGCCCACCGCGTTTTGTTTCCGCGCACACACCGAATACCCGTATCGTTCATGTCCTGTTTGCACACATATTTGTAGAGCCTGACTTCGACATCTTCTATACGTTTGTAATTCACCATAGTGGACGTCCTTAGGAATGATTATTTCATATTGCACATATTATATATTAGTCGCAACAGATGTTAGGAGGATAGCTCGTTAAGTTTAATATATTTTAGAGGGCTTTTTTAAATGATTGTGACAATCATTTTGTATAATTTTTGGAAATATTCAGACTGATCTGGGATACCAGTATTCTGTTTAAAAAAAAAATTAAAACCTTTGTTCTCTTAATGCACTATTTAATCCTTTCCTGTTGTTTTCTCGATCTGTCTATTTTCAGCATGTTTTCTTTTGCCATTTTGCAGAGGATTTTTTTTTTAAATTTAGGAAAGCCCTAATGCGAGATGGGATCAATTCAGGGCGTTTTTCTTGTTAATTTAAAAGAGGCACGCAGAGCAAGATATTTCTAATTTTACTCACACTGGAAGGCAGGCATGTACACACAAACACACACACAGACACACACACAAACACACACACACGCACTACACAAACACAAGCGTACACATAAACACGTACACCTACACATTTAATTTACAACGACGCAATAAATATAAAAACAAGGAAAACGTGAATAATTTACAAATATAAAACAGAAAAATAATGCGAAACAGAACATGCAAGAAAAATTGTGTGGAAAGCAAAGAAACAAAAAACACTTCTTATAACCTCATTACAGTTATAGCATACTTAAATGGCTGTACTATTGTCGCTCAACTAATTTTTGAAAAATGAAAACTAAAATTTACAGTAGACTGACTGTGTCGTTTGACAACCACATTTGAAGAACCAAAGGAAGAGAATAAAGAATGCCTAAAGACAGTAATTAAAAAAAAAAATTACTAGAACAATAAAAGAGGACGATACATTTTAAAAAGAAGACCTAAGAAACATACAACAGAAGGAAGTAGTAAAGACAGACTAGAACAGATACACTGGCAGACAGAGAGATAAGCAGACAGACAGTTAGACAGACATAGAGATAGACAGACACACGGACGGACGGGCAGACAACAGACAGATAGATAGATAGATAGATAGATAGATAGATAGATAGATAGATAGATAGATAGATAGATAGATAGATAGATAGATAGATAGATAGATAGATAGATAGATAGATAGATAGATAGATAGATAGATAGATAGATAGATAGATAGATAGATAGATAGATAGATAGATAGATAGATAGATAGATAGATAGATAGATAGATAGATAGATAGATAGATAGATAGATAGATAGATAGATAGATAGATTAGATAGATAGATAGATAGATAGATAGATAGATAGATGATAGATAGATGATAGATAGATAGATAGATAGATAGATAGATAGATAGATAGATAGATAGATAGATAGATAGATAGATAGATAGATAGATAGATAGATAGATAGATAGATAGATAGATAGATAGATAGATAGATAGATAGATAGATAGATAGATAGATAGATAGATAGATAGATAGATAGATAGATAGATAGATAGATAGATAGATAGATAGATAGATAGATAGATAGATAGATAGATAGATAGATAGATAGATAGATAGATAGATAGATAGATAGATAGATAGATAGATAAAATAAATAAATAAATAAATAAAGAAAGAAAGAAAGAAAGAAAGAAAGAAAGAAAGAAAGAAAGAAAGAAAGAAAGAAAGAAAGAAAGAAAGAAAGAAAGAAAGAAAGAAAGAAAGAAAGAAACCTCACCTGGCATGTACAAAATGACCACAACTGAGAGGTTCTAAACGCTCTAAAGACTGGCCGACAACCTCCCCGCAAATCCCACAGAAGAGGTCCATCTCCTGAACCAGCTGTCGGATCACACCAGCGTGTCGCCTGGCCCGGATTTCATCCTTGATAACCTCACAGACCAATTGGAGGCGTGCATGGCAACGGAGCATCTCCAGCTAAGGACGATAACCGATCACATAGGTGACTTCTAAGAGTTATTTTTGAGTTAAAATTGAATGGATCGTTTGTTCTATTCCAAGCTCTTAAAGGAGCAAAATCTCTATCATCGTCAACATTACCATCTCATTTTGGTTCCTCACCCTCTTCTTTTTTTTTTTTTTTCTTCTCTCATTCATTTTATTTGTATTTGAGCACAGTAAAGTCTTTAGTGACTGAGCTGCTATCCGAAGATTTAATAACGCAGTAACTAAAGAAGGTGAGTCTGGATAATAACTCAGCCGGCACAATCCCAAATTAGGATATGCCTATTGTTGTGGCTCCGTGTGCTTCTTTCTTCCGTTCTACTTGACGGTTTGACACTGAGTTTACTTGATCTTGGTCTGGAGGGCAGACCAACAGGGCAGATACTAGATATTCCATTCAGCCTCCAAAGAAGTTTTAATTAGGGCATCCGCAACGGTTACGCCAGCCTTTGCAGGTAAGGAGTTGTGTAAATAAATAAATATACGGTAGGTAGGTAGTTCGTTCTCTGCAGGGTTGCAGTCTCTAGGATTAGATTCAATGCCCTCACTGTCAAGACTGTTCTTAGCGTCTGCTTCAGATAGAAATGCTTTTGCCACTGAAAACAGACAGGGGATTATGAAAGAAATAGTGAGTGAATTTTAACCCTTTTAGTACCGCACTCTGAACTATCAGCACCCGGTGACGCAACTAACCAGAAGAGAATCCCCACGGTACAAATCCAAAAAAAAAAAAAAAAAAAAACGTTCCACCCTAAGGTTATATTGTGGACCTCTGTGGTTAGAAAGTAACCGGAAGATCAGACGGAGAAGAGGAAATGAAGTGGTAGGTAGTTGTACCCCACCAGGACATCATACAAGCGATAAACACCCGGTAACACAAAGTGCCAACATACGGATTACCCGTGGAAAGGTCCCAAAATCCCCTTTTAGCCGTTAGTCCATATCTATGCCCCGGCTAAATTCATTTTTTTTTTACATGATCTAATTAGGAATTTTTGTTTCTGAAAAAAAAAAGGTACAGGTCAAAATTTAAAAAAAAATGAAAATAAAAAAAAATAAACACCACAAATGTGTCTTCTTCTTCTTTTGTCAAAATCTGCTTGTGCCGCTAGGCGTCGCAGTCTATCAGATGATCGGCAACCGAGCCAGGGCGCGCTCAGTCGCTTCATATGCCGTGATGTTATGAAGTCTCAAGTTGTCCGTGACTCCTTCAATCCATCTTCTTCTTGGTCTTCCCCTGCCTCTTGTTGTTTCGATTTTCATGTTGTATGCTCTTGATGCTGGCATCGTTGGTTCCATTCTCATTAGGTGACCAAACCATTTCATTCTTTGCTTCTCAATAAATTTAACGATGGGTATGGTTCCAATAGTTCTTGTAATCACATCGTTTCTCACTCGATCTCTTCTGGTTTTATTCGCAGCCATTCTCAAACATCTCATTTCACAGGTGGTTAGTCTTCTCTCATGTTTTTTTTTTTGTTAATGTCCAAGTCTGACATTGATAACCTAATGTCGGTATAAAGATTGTATTTATAATTTGTCTTTTTATCTCAGCTGGGACAGCAGGGTGTTTTAAAATTGGGGCAAGCTGGTATGCGACATTGTTGGCTTGTTGGATTCTTGCTTCAATCTCTCTGTCTATTTTACCATTGGATGTAAAGATACTTCCCAGGTATTTAAATTCTTGCACTTGTTTTAGGCTGTGATCTAGAATCTTTATGTCGATGGTCTGTTGCTCTCTACTTATGCTCATCACTTCTGTCTTTTCAGTATTGATCTTCATGTGATGCTTGAGGCAACTGTCGTGTAGTAGGTTCATGTGGTCTTGCAGCTGTTTACTATCACTGTGAAATATGCATTGATCGTCGGCAAAGAGCAGCTCATTGAAGTCCTCCTGTTTATCGACATCTGTTGGTGTTATGTCTATTTTATTAATATTGTCCATAAATATTATGAAAAGTAAAGGAAATGTGTAAATTGTGTGAACAATTATATAACGATAGTGACAATCAACGAACATAAATTCATAGAATCAAGTTGAGTAATCTGCACTCTACTGTGTAACTACTAAAAAAAAAATCCAAAGGTTGGCAGCTCAATGCACTTGGCAGACCCATTTTACAGTGCAACACAGTTGGTAATAGACACAGGCTTGGATGGTTTTCCACTCTGGGATCCCACACCCTCCATCTTCTCAACCACATTGTACCCGCTGACAACTTCTCCAAACACAACATGTTTACCATCTAACCATGAAGTGATAGCTGTTGTGATTAAAAAAACTGTGATCCGTTGGTGTTTGGTCCAGCATTTGCCATGGACAGAAGACCTGACTTGGTGTGTTTCCTGATAAAATTTTCATCTTCAAATTTGCTGCCATAGATACTCTTTCAGCCTATACCATTTCCATTTGTAAAATCTCCACCCTGGCACATAAAACCTGGGATGATCCTTTGGAAACTTGAATTTTTGAATCCAAAGCCCTTTTCACCAGTGCAAAGTGCTTTAAAGTTGGCTGCTGTTTTGGTTCCGGGCCCCCGGCAAAAGACAGGGTGGGGCTTCAAAAAATAAAAAAAATTGCATCCCACATGGCGACGACTTTCAATAATATAAGTAAGGTGAGTAAACAACGTTTTGAATATTTCACAGCTGTGTACAGAGGTTACCTTTTAGAAAGAGCAAAAATAACGATCTGTAATCTTGACAACATGCCCAACCGCCAAATAAGCATAACTTTTAGTTCACAGCTGAATCCATCTGACGTCTCCATTATTTTAGGCATACTGATAACAGTCGTGAAAGCATTACCTTATTAACCGCAAAGGAACATTTAAAAATAGATTCCGAACTTATTAACTCCCCTACTTGACCTGGTTTCCCCAGGACCTCATTATTTTTTTTTCTTTCTATCTCACCATCTCTAAAAAAAAAAAAAAGTAAAAATATTAAATGCCTCTTGAGTGTTCAGAAAGGGTGCAGTCGTTTGTTATTTATTAATTTCTGTAAAAATATAGACCCACCAAAAAGTTGTTTATTAGAAGGGAGAGAACTGCACTCACCTTGCAACCAATTTTTGTAGCAAGATCTAAGGCTTTCTCGTTCAGTTCTAGTGCCTAGGGAGGAGAAATAACGAGAACAGGTAAGATTTAGTCTGAGCTGGTATAAGTAGCATTTCCGTAGTCAACATGCTTAACGAATAAGTTACTTTTGTTAATCCTGATTTGTGGCATTTGTCCTTTTTTTTTTTTTGTCCCAGGCGATAGTGTTCTGTTGTAACTAAATGGAGGAATTTGACTACTCTATATAGTATCCAGTTTCGTCCAATTTAGGACGAAATTTTTTGTCATTTGAAGCCCTACTCTGGCTTTTGCCAGGGGCCGCAATATAGGCAGGTCATACATATGGCCAAATGTCTGAACGCGGTTTCTGGGACCTCTCCACGGCGATCCTCATCCGCATGGTGGGACATTGTGTCATCGGGTGTTTGTCGCTTGTGTGATGTCCTGGTGGGGTAGAAAGTCAGTCAGTCAGTCAGGCATGCCAAGTATTATTTATGGGAGAATGTTCCTCACATCTCATCGTCCTTTTCAGGATGAATCTTTTTATTTGAAGCTCCAACCTGGCCTTTACCGGGGGAAGCAATATAGGCAGGCCATACATATGGCCAAATGTCTGAACGCGGTTTCTGGGACCTCTCCACGGCGATCCTCATCCGCATGGTGGCACATTGTGTCATGGGGTGTTTATCGCTTGTGTGGTGGAGTGGAAAGTCAGTCAGCTTATGGGGATGTCTATGACACACTTCTCGTCCTTTTTATGATGAAATTTTTCGTTATTTGAAGCCCTACTCTGGCAAACACACACACACACACACACACACACACACACACACACATAACCTCAAAGAAACATGTATACAGATAACAGCTACAAATCACAGACGTATCACCTTCTGATAATCCCGCTGGCAGACGGCTGTTTTGGCCATCCCGCCCAAAACCTCCACTTGCCCAAGTCTGTCCCCAATCTCAGACATGATGCTTGCTGCTGATTCGTAGCGCGGATTTGCCCTCTGAGGAAGCAGCAGGAGAAATGCATCATCATATATTAATTAGCACTTAAAGAAGTAAACGATTGTAGGGCATTCTTCTTCTTCTTCTTCTTCTTCTTCTTCTTCTTCTTCTTCTTCTTCTTCTTCTTCTTCTTCTTCTTCTTCTTATTCTTATTCTTCTTCTTCTTCTTCTTCTTCTTCTTCTTCTTCTTCCCAGCTACCGGTTCCCAGCTGTAAACTTCGGTTTAAAGTTCTTGTAGTTCGTCCACTTATGGACTTGAGTCTGGTTCCACGACTTGAATTCTGTATGCACGCCCACTTTACGGATCTGACTTATTGTGTGCGTATGGATGTAGTACATCAAAGCAAACTCAAGAGCAAGCATTACAGTGTTGTCCACACTTTGGCATCATAATTTCCTTTATGTTCTTAAGAAATGAATAGTTTCGTTATTTCGTTCTCTTCCTCATCTCTTAACAAATATAGATTGCATGTTATATTATTCATCCTCTAAAATTCTCCTTTCGAGCTATTCTATATTTAACATCTTTAATACATCTTCCATGCGTTGTTATCAGTGTACCCAATTACTTAACCATTTTGACCTGTTTCATACTCAAAATGTGTTACCAAATGTAATTTTGCCAACAGTTGAAATAAGTATTTTACATAGGTACCTCAATGTCGTTTCGTTTTCTGTGAATGTCAGCAAACAGGAAGAGACACCGAGCCTGGACTGGCCTGTCGGAGTGTTTCATAGCCATTTGCATAGCATCCTGGTATGAAGAAAATTAAACTGTATTAATGTCGTGCAAAAAAGACAGCAATTAAAATTGTTTGCCCACTCTGAGAGAATGTCTTGCGTCACCATAATACACAAGGCATACGCCAAAGAAGGAGAACTGCGCAGAGCACTGGTATACACAGAACAGATTGGTGAGGTTTGAGGTTTGAACAACAGATCAACATCACGGCACAAGGGTAATAACCCATGAGTGCTCCGTTTTACTTCTAACTCAAGTCTGAGTCCGAAGTAGCTCAGCGCCAAGCACGGACTCCGAAATATTTTGGGTAGTTTTTTAACTCAAAATTTTGCCCGTCCGTTAATATACTCTTTTAGATTTCCAACTGCCAAGGGATTTTTGTGTACGTTTACAACAATACACACGGGCGTCCGATCTCTCTCATTACCCAGAGACCAGAGGAAATTACTAGATGCCCACTTCAAAATATTCCAGCCCTCGCCATTCGTTGATGGTCTGTCATGATTATCACAAAAATCATAAACATTATGATTAGCACATTCCTCAACATTAGCAATTATATCATCATCAGCACACTCATCAATATCAGCATCATCATTATCAATATCATCTTTGGTACCAAAAACAACGATAACAACTTTACCCTTATCATCATTATCGTTATAGCAACTGTCTACAACATGAGTATCAAGAATAATAACCACTCCACACATGTCATCATTATAACTACCGCCCAGAACAAAGGTACTAAAAATAACAATATAAGTTCTACCCTCTTAATCATTATAATTAATCACTGTCAACATCATCGTCATTATCATCATCATCCTTATCAACATCGCGAACTTTGGTTCCCTGGGTGCCTTTGAAATTCAATGTCCAACTTCGTGTTTAGAGAGCCAGGATAGCGCAGTAGCTAAAAGGTCGAAAGTATTGGGTTTAAATCGGTAATACAAAAAAATATGATGGCATGTCTGAAACAACATGAAATTTATAAACAAATACTTATAAAGAGAATGCATGTGCTTGAGTGGGGAGATTGGAAGGGGCGCTGAGCTTCCATTACAAATTTAGCTGGGACCTTACGGTACCTGAGCAGGTTATAGCATAGCGTACATGGTGCTAGTCGACCCCTGTCTCCTCTGGAAGATTTCTACCTTACGTTTTTGTTCTTTCTAAACCTCTGGAGAAATTAATGCGGCAACAAGCCAAAATAGATTGCAAGAATACCGTGTTTATAAATACGCAGACGCAATGATTTTTTTCTTGTCAAATAAGCAATTTTCGTAAAGTCACGACGTTCATTTCTCGTTTTCCCACAGGCTGACATGCCAGTGAGTGAGTGCCTACAACTGTCCATGAAGATGTAGTTAGCAGGAGAACTGAAACAGGAAGGGGAGGTAGAGATTCCTGTTCCTCACATTTTATCATCCGATGAAGCTGTTTTCTTTTCGGGCCAGGTGTACGTACGTACGATGCCAGCGCTAAAATTAGAAAGTATGTGTTCCTTCAACGCCGGTCAAAACTCGAAACGTTTAGCAATTACACGACTCACGTAGGTCCAATGCACGTGTAAGTTGAAACCATGGGCTATTTTTAGTTAGCAGAAGAGGTAAACATGGGAACGGGAAGGGGGAGTATAGAGCAGGTCGGTGAGTCATCGTCTGTAGCTGGGGTTGAGTAGATACGCAGGGAGGCAAAGAGAAAATTGCTTACTGGTTGTGTTATTCGTTTACTTGCTATTTCCGTTACGACTTTTGCGCCTCTAGTTAACTCTTAAAAACCGAGAAGCTCTTATAAGCTCGATGTAAAGTGAATCGCCTTTCAAATGTCAGACGTTTGTGTTGGCACTTCTGACAGGCTGCCTTATGCATTAAACGCGTGTGTATGCTATTGTCTTTGCCGAGACAACAGTCTGTGCCAACCATTTTACACACAATGCCTGATTTAGGTATAAGTTGAATGAGCTACAGTCTAAGACTTCCCAATCTGCAGAGGCCACAGATTTTGTATTTACAAATGCATTTTTCTTTTTATATTTTTTAGACACAATTTTCGTTTAATAGACTTTAAAGGTAATTCTTGCTTTCACTACTAAAAGAACAATGTATCCTTACATTTGCTAATTTTATTATTATTACTTATAAGTTATATTATTCCAAGCTTTTATTTATTCTGACTTGCTGCAGCCCGTTTACATTAAATTAAAATAATCAGTTTAATATGTGTCACAATTAATAACATTTTGCAGTCGAGAAATAAAGTAATTTTTTTTAAATTTTCTTTTCAATTTTTGTTGTTGTAACTCAGAGAATTTTAGAGAACTATATAATTTATGTGATTGTGCAAGTATATGATATTATTTCTTTCGTAAAAAATATAAACAATATATTTCTTGTATCCATTTATTTAAAAAGCGTGTACATTTGAAAGTTATCTACGATTAGCTGAGGTAATTTAAAAGATAGCAGCTCACTGCTTTGAAAAGCTGAAGGCCTCATCAAATATGAATCCGGCCTTGACGGACCCGTTTATTGTGATTCTGGAACTTCAATTACCTGACGTCAAGTAAAAGTAAACGAGCTTTTTCACGGTGTGGCACAAAGGGCACATGGGCGCCGGAACCTGATGGCATAGGCACACTGGGGCCATAACCCTCCAAAAACAACAACAACAACAACAACAACCACATGTTGTGCC